AGGACTTCAGAACACTCATAGTGTAGAACTATAAACAGGCACAACAAGTCATCACAAAACAATATAAGAGTGAAGCGATAGAGATGTGCATGAGGTGCTGCTCCAAGTGCTCAGGAGAGGGGAGCTTCACTTATCCTGGGGAAAGTGTGTGTGTGTATCAGGGAAGGCTTTTTGGGGGAGGTGATATCTGATCTGTGACTTAATTAGCAAGGTGGAGGGAATCAGGAGCTGGGGCCAGGCAGGGCAGAGCAGGGTGTTCCAGGCAGAGGGGAAGGATGAAGATGGGCCAGGAGAGACAAGCAGAACATATCTGCCCGAAATCACGTGCTGGAGCACCAGGAACAAGGAGAGGAATGGTTCCCAGGAAGTAGACTATGAAGGGCTTTGTATACCAGACTGAAGACCCCAGATTGTATTCTGTAGGCAGTGGGGAGCTGTTTGTTCATTCAGCAAACATTTCCTGAGTGCCAGCCACGTGTCAGGCGCTGTGCTTGATATGCAGGATGCAATGATGAGCAAAACTGACACCAGTTCCTGTCCCCATGGAACTTATGTTCTAGTGGAATGGAACTCTTTTAAAGCTGGGGAGTGATGTAACTTGAACTCTTTAAAGCTAGGACAAGAACAGCAATCACTAAGCAATCACTAAGATGAAAAATGAGAGATTTATTTGAGAACTATTTAGGAGTAAAAATAGACACGACTTGATGACTCATTGGATGGGGAGGTGGTGAGAGAAAGAGAGGTGTCATGGATGGTTCTTAGGTTTACACCATGGATGGGTGGGGTTATACTTACTAGGATCAAGAACAAAGAAGAATGAGTAGGAAGTTTGGTGGGGAGATGAAGAGTTTAGCTTTGGACTTGCTTGGTGAGGTGGACATATTTGCATGGAGAGGGTTTAGCAGATAGTTGGACATACAAGTCTAAACACCGAAGAAGAGATCCAGAGACACAAATTTCATAGCGTGTGGGTGATAATTCAAATCATGGAGGTGAAAGGAATTATCTAAGGAAAACGTGGAAAGTGATATGAGGATCTGAAGTATGTCCACAAGTAAGGCATATATGGAAAAAGGATTCATGAAGGAAAAAAGAAAAAGAAAAGTTACCAATAGATAGGTTAATATTCAGGAGGCAGGGTAGTTTGGGAAGTTGCAGTTTGTCTGTTGGAATATTGGTGGAACAGTAACTAATGAACAATTCAGTTTAATTCACTAAGCGTTGACTGAGTGTTGAGCATGTGCCATACGTCGTGTAGAGCTGGGAAAGAACAAGACAGGGAAGATTCAGATAACATCCTTGCCCTGGAGGAGCCTGTATTCAAGGAGGTCATCGCTTCTATTTCACTAGCGGATACCAGTACAATTGCCTTATAAATAAAAAATGCCACCCAATGGATTTGAGTTTATCATCATAAAAAATATTATTTTGAAACATTCTTGAGAAATGATAGAAGGAATAGGAGTGTTAAGCTGTGGAAGAGAGAAAACATGGGGAGAATCAGTCTTGCTTCAAGTAGTTAAAATGGCTCTTCGGAGGCTCCAGAACGAGACAAAACATGAGTGGAAATTGAAGGGAAATTATATTGGTTTATATATTATATGATATATTTATATATTGATCAAGAACTTTCTGATAGAACGAAGTCTCTAGCTGGCCGCCTCCATTTATAACAACTGAAATAATGTCTGGAGGACCATTGGCTCTCAGTGCTGAGTTAGAGTGTAGACTCCATGATCTTTAAGGTCTTTCCAGTCCTGGTTTTTCCATCTAGCCCTGTGAACATCTCCTAGAGCAGTGGTTCTCAAACTTTTACAAAAATCACATACCCCTTTGAGAATCTGATGAAAATTTTTGGACATTATCCTCAGGGGAGAAAGTGCAAGTATGTACATAAACACAATTATTGTTAAAACAGGCTGCCTGGAAGTCTTCCATGGGAGGTCTATGGGCTTCGGGTTAGGACTTCTTGTCTTAATGGATTTCCACTAGATGAGCACATAGACATTGCTTACTCTGAAATTATACACATTGAAGAAAAAAGCCTCTCTGGGACTTAATTTAAAACCATGACTAAGGTTTGCTATACATCTAGTGCAATGCATCATTGATTTTATTCTGTCAGCCTTCCTTTACAAGTGGCCCCAAGCAACTCACAACTTCACAGATAAATGTACGTAATCATATGCACATATTTTATTTTAAAAATAATGATAATCTTTGGTGTAACCACATATAGTCACAGAGATATGTTATTGTAATTGAGATTCTCTGGTAGATGGATTTTGGGGGAGTTCTTTCTGATTAGGGCTGTCTTACATATTTATACTAGAAGAGTTCATGAGCTATTTCTGATACTTAGACTTTAATCATGCTTAATGAACTGAACTAAACATAATTCTTGTTCTGTTTTGGTAACCTTGTGGATTTCTCCTAATGCTCAGTTTCATATGACTACACCGTTCTTGAAATGCTAATACCCCAAATGCTAATTCCAGAGAGGACCACAAAAGTTAGACTTCATTTCAGAGAAGTGCATTCAGTATTCACAGGCCTTTCTGGAAGAACAAGGCTGTGAGAGGAATATTAGGTGGAAAATATTGGCTCCT